TTCGATCCTCACTGAGTTCCCCCTACTTTCGGCCTTGTGCCACCTCTAAGCAACACTTGGGAACTCGCTACGCTGGTTAGTCGTCGTGCCGAGTGGGAGAGGTACGACTGGTTCAACAGTTAGCAAACTGGCCAATGGAAACGGGGAATCGAGTTCAAATTCCAGCTATCCATTACACGTCCGCAAATCTAAGTTTACAGCACCTGATATTCCCAAACGGTTTACCCATCTAAGTACTGACCAGGATCGACGTTGCTTAACTTCGATGATCGTACGAGGTGCATAACTACAGACGCTTTTCTTTAACTCCAAATATGGATTACATAGCAGGACGGTCAGGGCTTTTTACCATCTCTTGGTAACCAGTCTAGGAGATGTTGATTTGCATAATCTAATGCTGTCATTTGATGTCTGTTATCTAACCAAACCTGCTAATCCAACATGATTGAAGTAGATGTAAATGACTATGAAAAAGGAATTGCTTTTTATTGGTTTGCATATAACTAAATACTAACGAATTTTGACTCAGGAGCTCAGGCAGAAGAAGGGTTAGAATTGTTCAGGAACGCAGGGTTCAAAGGGTTAAATATGTAACGATAGGACGGAAGGGGTCAAGGAATTTCATTCTTTGAAGGTCTAGGATTAATCCGATCCCCACCCACTGAAGCTTCCCAGATTTTTGTCCCATGTTTAGGTGAAACTACGACTTTAAATTGGTACACTTCATAGCATCCACTTCCTTTTGTTGATTTTCTAAGCGTAGCTTAGGTGTAGCACAAGGCTGAAAGTATGGGGCACCCAGTGAGGATCGAACTCACTATTTAGTCGTAAATAATTTAGCAAGACAAGCCTGCTAACCATTACACCACGCCGAGGTGCCCAATTTTCCAAGCTTAGCTTAGATGTGGCACAAGGCCGAAAGTAAGGGGCACACAGTGAGGATCGAACTCACTACTCAGTCTTAATTGTTCTAGCGAGACAAGCTTGTTAACCATTACACTGCCTCGACGGGTCCGTCCTTCTTCCTTTTGTAGTAGAGACACAAGGCGCCACTTTGTGTTCTCACAGTTTCTATTTATAATTATATCCTGTCCATTGTCTAGTATGAAGGATCTTTTTGCATGACACCAGTGTCAATGTGAACTTTGGTCTGTTAGATTCTACCACTGACCAACATCCTGCAACTAATGTCTTCCTTGTACCCTGGCAAACGTAGCTTCCAGGTCCTATGCATTGCCAAAGGGTAACCCATGATTTGATTGTTATAGATTTGAATTCAGAGTGACAAACCTGAATATTTATTTATCTTTGTACCCAGTAAATGCTTATATTAACCATTTGAAAGTACCTTAACAATTTTAACCCTGAGCTCCTGAGTCAAAATTCGCAAATAATTCGTATGTAATGTTCCACAGTAGATATAAAAATACTTACAAGTGTTTACCCATCGTTCAACCGGTGGGTGGGCATTAAGTTATTTTTTCTAGCAACTGTAAAGCGGTGACCAGGGTTCAAAGGGTTAAAAATCGTAGTTCCACCTGAACATGGGACAAAAATCTGGGAAGCTTCAGTGAGTAGGGCTCGGATTAATTCTAGACCTTCATAGAATGAAAATCCTTGACCCCTTCCGTCCTATCGTTACATATTTAACCCTTTGAACCCTGCGTTCCGGAACAATTCTAACCCTTCTGTCTGAGCTTCTGAGTCAATATTTGCAAATAATTGGTATGTAATGTTTCCCGGTAGATATAAAAAGAGTTACAAGTGTTTATCCACCGTTCAACCGGTGGCTGGGTATTAAATCATTTTTCTCTACCATTGGCTGGGCATTACGTCATTTTTCTCTACCATTGGCTGGGCATTACGTCATTTTTCTCTACCATTGGTTGGGCATTACGTCATTTTTTCTCTACCATTGGCTGGGCATTACGTCATTTTTCTCTACCATTGGATGGGCATTACGTCATTTTTCTCTACCATTGGTTGGGCATTACGTCATTTTTCTCTACCATTGGCTGGGCATTACGTCATTTTTCTCTACCATTGGCTGGGCATTACGTCATTTTTCTCTACCATTGGTTGGGCATTACGTCATTTTTCTCTACCATTGGCTGGGCATTACGTCATTTTTCTCTACCATTGGTTGGGCATTACGTCATTTTTCTCTACCATTGGCTGGGCATTACGTCATTTTCTCTACCATTGGGATTGGGCATTACGTCATTTTTCTCTACCATTGGTTGGGCATTACGTCATTTTTCTCTACCATTGGCTGAGCATTACGTCATTTTTCTCTACCATTGGCTGGGCATTACGTCATTTTCTCTACCATTGGTGGAGCATTACGTCATTTTTCTCTACCATTGGTTGAGCATTACGTCATTTTCTCTACCATTGGTTGGGCATTACGTCATTTTTCTCTACCATTGGTTGGGCATTACGTCATTTTTATCTACCATTGGTTGGGCATCAGAGTCAAAGGTTACCATTGTTTGGGCATTACGTCATTTTATCCTAGAGGCTAATTCATTATTTTTTTCTCTACTTAACGTCCTTAATAATTTTTTTGTCATATTTGGGTGGGCATTACGTTCAAAAACTCTCCAGTCCTTTGGTTGGGCATTATTCTCCACCCTCTACTTCTCTCCCCAGGCAGGATTTTGAGCCTCCATTGGTTGGGCTCTTACGTCATTTTTCTCTACCATTCGGACGAGCCTCATTCCCGTCCCGCAAATTCTCTACTGACCAGGACCCGCCATGTCACTTACATTGTAAGGCAAACCACTCATTGTTTCTCTCCGGATTCCCATCCAGAAGGTAATTCCCAATTTTAATAGATCTTAACTTCTTAATAAACCACTGTCATTTTGGAACTGTGCGTCATTAAGATGTTCAAAAATCAATCCGATCCTTAACCTGTTCAAGTGTCAACCACCCTCTTACTTCCCCACATCCCCTGCAGGATGTGCCTGAGCCTCTAACACTCTAGCTTGACTTCTTGGGCCTTGTGCATGAAAAGCTTCAACAAGCCTCCTTCCCTGTTCCAACCAATTTAAACCTACACGGCTAACCCGCCATGCCACTTACATTGTAGCAAACCACTCACATTCTCTCCGTATTCCACCAGCGAGAAGCAAGACCCACTCGAACATCTTCTTCCCATAAACCACTGCTTTGTGGAACTGACTGCCAAGAAGATGCTTCCCCAATCAATATTATCTTAACCTGTTCAAGTCTCAACTCACCTGTTTACTTCCCCACATATTCCTGTAAATTGTGCCTCTCATTCTCTAACACTCTAGCTTGAGTGACTCTTGGGCCTTGTACATGAAAAATGTTCAAATGAGCTACCTTCCTTATTTCCACCATTTTTAATCTTCACGGCTAAGACTAGCCATGCCACCCACATTGCAACAAAACACGTTCATTCCCGTAAACTGTGCCTCCCAGTCGCTAACGCTCTACCTTGAGTGACTCTTGGGCCTTGTACATGAAAAATGTTCAAATGAGCTTAGTTCCATGTAGAGTATTCCAATGAGATATCAATACAATCTTAACATGTTCAAGTCTCAAGTCAACGGTTTGCTTCCCCACATATTCCTGTAAACTGTGCCTCTCATTCTCTAATACTCTGCCTTGAGTGTCTTGGGACTTGTACATGAAAAAGGTTCAAATGAGCTACCTTCCTTAGTTCCACCATTCTTAATCTTCACGGCTAAGACTCGCCATGCCACCCTCATTACAGCAAACCACGTTTATTCCCTTCGTATTCCACGGATTAGATGTAAGTTCCACTCGAACAGCATCTTCCCATAAACCACTGCTTTGTGGAACTGACTCCCAAGAGGATGCTTCCCTGATCAATACAATCTTAACCTGTTCGAGTTTAGGGTTTACCGTTATCTTCCACTCCTATCCGTACAAACTGCCTCATAACGTAATCCTCTACCTCGAGTGGCCCACTGGGCTTGTACAGTGTGAACTTTATTGTAAAAAAAATCTTTGCTTGTTAGCAAGATACCCGCTCTTATGCATTAGTACCTTACTAATCAATACCTATATTTAGTTATTCCTGTAACCAGTAAATACTTATATGATTGTTTTTTATGGGTTATCAACCTGTTGCAGGTTATTTAAAGCAAGAAAATAATTTTAGATTGTAAGAATTTTTTCGAGAAAATAAAGATTTACTGACACAAGTCCTATTAATTAACCCATAGGTGAAGGAACAAAGAGTTGGATTTATACCATTCCCAAGAGTACTTGCGCGTAAATCAATATAACGAACCCGACTGGAATTTGAACTTGGTTCCCCCATTTCCAATTTTCGTAATTCTATTTTTACAGCACCTGATATTCCCCAAGATTTCTTTTTTAACGGTTTATCAACCTTTTGCAGGTGATTTTAACATCCATAAGGTGATTGATAATTATGAATAGATCTTAAAATACCTAATGATTTGCTAATACAAGTCCTACTACTTAACCCATAGCTGGGGGAGAAAATTTGGATCTATAACTTTCACAAGGGTGTTTACACGTAACTGAATATAAAAAACCGACAGGAACTAGAGCTCCGCTCACCAATTTTCAATGCCGAGCGGATATCCATTATACCACATATCCAAACTTACATCACCTGGTATTCCTATGCGGTCACCCATTTAGGTAGTAACCAGGCTTGGCGATGCTTAACCTTCGTGATCATACGAGAATCAGTAGAAAACATCAATAAGGTAATTCATAATTTTGAATGGATCTTAAAATGCCTAAGCTTTGGTTGTTAGCAAGATACACACTCTATAGAAAAGGATACTAATGGTTTACTGATTGGTCCTACTAATTAATTAACCCATAGATGGGGAGTGAAGATGTGGATCTAAAACTTTCCCAAGGGTATTTACACGTAACTGAATATAAAGAAATCGCCTACTACTGGAACTCGGCTCGCTGATTTCCAATTCCGAGGCTTTATCCATTACACCAGCTGCACATCCAAGCTTACAGTACCTGGTATTCCCATGTGGTCACCCATCTAGGTACGAACCAGGTTCGATGTTGCTTTACTTCGGTGATCGCAGGAGACCCGGTGTTTCAACGTGATGTGATCGTAAGCCGTTCGTATCGCACATCCAAGCTTACAGCACCTGGTATTCCCAAGCGGTCACCCATCTTGGTACAGACCAGACATGACGTTGCTTCAGTCAGTGTCATTGTGCGAGAACCGGTGTTTCAACGTGATATGGTCGTTAGCCGAAAATACTTATCGTCTCAACTATAAACGACCAATATTTCCCCATCCCAGAACCAAGTAAATAAACCTAAAGTGCACTTTTCAATCGGATTGCTTTTAACAGAGAGCAAATTCTAATCGCTTTGTATCGCGTATGTGTAATTTGTTGTGTGTGCTCTTGATGGGCTCCATTCTTTTGAGCGAAACGTTCAAACGTGAATCTGGGTGGGAGGAGGGATCAGAATGGCCCCTCTCCCTATTCATAAGGAGAAAGCTTGTTTGTTTCAACCTTTCGTCCAACCAATTTGCCCCCCCCCCACACTCTGCCTTAAATGTGTCCCTTTGTCCCCATGTTAGGGATATAATAGGAAGGAAAAAATCTTCTTCAAATACAGCTTCTATTCACTCACACACACAGATAGATAGATAGATAGATAGATAGATAGATAGATAGATAGATAGATAAGAAGAGACTGGGATAGATAGATAGATAGATAGATAGATAGATAGATAGATAGATAGATAGAAAGATAGAAACAGATTAAAGATAGATGAATAGATAGATAGATAGATAGATAGATAAGAAGAAGAGACTGGGATAGATAGATAGATAGATAGATAGATAGATATGATGGATTAAAATGATAGATAAGAAGAGACTGAGATAGATAGATAGATAGATATAGATAGATAGATAGATAGATAGATAGATAGATAGAAACAGATTAAAAGATAGATGATAGATAGATAGATAGATAGATAGATAGATAGATAGATAAGAAGAGACTGAGATAGATAGATAGATAGATAGATAGATAGATAGATAGATAGATAGATAGATAAGAAGAGACTGGGATAGATAGATAGATAGATAGATAGATAGATAGATAGATAGATAGATAGATAGATAGATAGATAGATAGATTCGTTTTCTCCGATTTATTATACTTTACGTCGCTTCTTTAACCCTGAAAAAAATCATGGAGTTGTATGATTTTTATGGGCGTAGGGAGATAATAATGGTGATACAAGTCTTACTAATTAACCCATAGCCGGGGAGAGAAGACCTGGATTCATACCTTTCTAAAAGGTATTTGAGCGTAAGTAAATACAATGAAACTGGAATTGAAAGTCGGTTCTCCGCTCTCCAATTGTAAGCCGTTATCTATTACACCAACTGCACACCCCTGCCTTCTGCCGGAGGGCGAATATATTATAAGATTTCTCGAATATTCAGCTCGGTAGACGAAAAAAATACTAAGGATGAAAGACTTCGACTGATCTCAAATCAGTCGAGGTTTGATTGAGGCTTGAAGCAATCCCATGTCTAGCCACACTGATGAGCTGTGATATCCTTATTAAAGAAAATATAGTTTCATAAATAAACGGAACGTCTACTCAAATAAGAGTATCCACTAAAAATCAAAATAAATACATTTTATATAATAAAAGATTTGTCGTATAAATAAATAAAAAATTTATAATTTTTTTAATATATATATATATATATATATATTATTAAAAGATTTTTATGTTTAACATTCTTTTATAGATTATTTTAGTAAAATACTTTATCTATAAAAAAAGAATATTAAACATAAAAATGTTTAATAATATATATATATATATATATATATAAAAAATTAAAAATTTTTTTATTTATTTATACGACAAATCTTTTATTATATAAAATGTATTTAATATTCTTTATAGATACAAGTATTTTAGTAAAATACTTGTATCTATAAAAAAGAATGTTAAACATAAAATGTCTTTAATAAATTGTCGGACTTTTTGTCCATTTCTTAATGTATATATATATATATATATATATATATATATATATATATATATACATTAAGCCTTCTTTGTGCAAACAACGTGAGTGTTTGCTGGGACTCGCTGTCATTTGCCTCTAGTCCCTTCTTGCATATATACAAGCATATATATATATATATATATATATATATGTGTGTGTGTGTGTGTGTGTGTGTGTGTGTGTGTGTGTGTGTGTGTGTGTGTGTGTGTGTGTGTGTGTGTGTGTGTGTGTGTGTGTGTAATTTTTTTTTTTCCACCTATTCTTATTGTACATTTCTCTTTTTTAATTTTGAATCTCCCGTGGAAGCCTGACGAGCGGGAGTGAAACCAATTGCTTCCCCCACCCTTGTTGTTGAGTTTTTTTTTTTTTTTTTTTTTTATTATTTAATATTATTTTAATATGTCTTGTAATATTAAATTTTATACTTTTATTTCGATCATTAAATTTTGTACCTACAAAAATATCTTCAAATATATATATATATATATATATATATATATATATATATATATATATATATATATATATATATTAAAAAAAGTAACGTAAATAAAATAGCATTTAATACTGACAGAAACATCTTAAACATATTTAATAACTAATCCTCCAAAATATTAACACCAAACCCCCTCCATATTAATAATGAACTAATCCAACCACATTGTCTAAATACCAAAAATATTATCTATAAAACTAAAATAATAAGCAACCTATTTCAAATCAAAACATGCAGCCATGATGATGGTCGACGAAAACCGAAAGTGCTCGGCAAAACATCATGGACTACGGTTTTATTCAAACAACTTACAAAGATATTAAAAAAAACTTGCTAGAAAGCAAGGAAAAACAGAAAAAAAAAGTTTGGAAAAGTTTTGTAGTCTTTAACAGCACATGCCTTAATATATATATACATACATACATACATATATATATATATATATATATATATATATATATATATATATATATTGAAAGTTAAACTAAAAATTCTTGAAGCGATCTATATTAAAAATTCAAACCAACTGTTAATAAAATTAATTATGAATACTACACGGGTGTTTTAGAATGGTTATAGTACATAGTTTAAAATATCGAGGTTCTAATAGTTTTAAATAGTTTAAAAGTACATAACCTTAGCGTTTTTCAGGTAAAAACTTTAACATTCAAATGAACACAACAATTTTGTCTTAGAAAAGTGATGAGCACAACAACTTCTGTCTGAGAGAAAAAACACCTTGATGATGTCATTGTGCTAATGTCGAAAGTACTCTGAATAAATGAATATGTATCAATATGGTAATTTTCTCTCTTCCTTTAATAAGGATATCCCAGCTCATCAGTGTAGCTAGACATGGGATTGCTTCAAGCCTCGATCGAACCACGACTGATTTGAGATCAGTCGAAGTCTCTCATCCTCAGGCTATCAGCACACGCAGCGGAGGAAGGTAATTTTTAACGCATTATATACGATATATAACCATTACCAGCTACCAGAGTGCTCAATTGATAGTGAAGATATTTTAGCCTCAATTTATAGCAACCGACAAATTACCTTTCTTCCAAAGTGCTCACCCTACGAAAGGGGCGTATATATATATATATATATATATATATATATATATATATATATATATACAATTATTTAAATGACATTTTTTTATGTTAATACATTCTTTTCTATGGATACAAATATTTAAGTAAATGCTCTGTTTATAATAATCGAACGATCCTCTGTGGCTGAATCGGTTAAAAGGCACGTCAGGCTATATGACGCTTCCGTATAGGATACAGGTTCGATTCCTGTCGGAGGACGCATATTTTCTATGAAAATTTCTCGGTCATTGAGGCCAGTAAATGTTGATACTGTTTATTATAAACAGAGCATTTACTTAAATATTTGTATCTATAAAAAAAAAGAATGTATAAACATAAAAATGTCTTAAAATAATTGTCGGACTTTGTCCATTTCATAATGTGTGACATCATTTGTTTACATTTGGATACGCTTTGAGCAGATATGAATGTACGTGAGAGAATTATGGAAGATTGTAGTTTACAAACAGTAAAATCGATCTTGCTACCTGAAACGCTCCTCGGTGGCTCAATCGGTTAAAGCACGTCAGGCTAAATGACGGTTCCGTATAGGATACAGGTTTGATTCCTGTCGAAGGCGCATATTTTCTATGACAATTTCTCGAACATTCAGGCCGGTAAATGTTGTTTAATACTGTTTATTATAAACAGAGCATTTACTTAAATATTTGTGTCTATAAAAAAGAATGTATAAACATAAAATGTATAAAAGAATGTATAATAAAAATGTATCAAAATATATATATATATATATATATATATATATATATATATATATATATGGTGCAACAGAAATACATCCACATATACCTTCCAGAAATACCTCCCACATAATGGTAAGGCATTAGCTAGATGACGACATCATTGCCACTAATGTCTTACCACTACGTGGGAGGTATTTCTGTCTCATCCTGTACTATTATATTTATTATTTATGTAGTTTATTTTTTCTTGGGTCGGCGGGGTGGGACTTCATGCAATGTAAGTTTTATTTCAAACTCGCTTTAGACGAGTGACCGGATAACGCATTGACAATGGGATTTGCTTGATTACGATTGGTGGGTGAATGTAACTGCTGACTACGTAAAGTGGCTTGTCTTTTCATTTTCTGAAAGGTTGATATACGAGATCTGAGCAAAAATTATCGGAACTGGTGGCATAAAATGAAAACTACAAGACATATCAATTCACCATTTAATCTCCTTTGAAGTAGTCCCCTCCTGAAGCCACACACTTTCTCTAGCGTTGTTTCCATTAATGGGAGCATTCTTGGAACTCCTTAATATATTGGGATGGCCAAAGGTGCATTCCAAAAGCTAAGCAGAGTGACAGACAAAAGTAGAACACTATGAACATTTATCTAAGAGACTGGTAAACTGAAATTATGTTTTATAATATTAATCCTAAAGTTGGAATTCCACTTTGAGAGAACAGCATTAAACATTTATAGAAGATCAAAAGATATACGAGATCAATTAATTATTGATCCATTTTACGAATTGATTTTAACGTTACATTCAAGAAAGCATTATGAAAAAGATTAAATGCTTTCTTTACACATGTGCAGAATTATATTTTATACAAATATGTCATGTTTTATTGCACTTCAAAGAAACTGAATATTTTTTTCCATAAACTGAAAGTTCGTAGAATCCTGCATTGAGCAAGTTTAAGTGCAATTTCAAACATTTGCTCATTTCTGTGTTTGAGTTTTGATCAAAAAGTACCAGGACTGGAGCTATAAAAAGAAAACTATAAAACATATCAATTCATCATTTAATCTCCTTTGAAATAGTCTTCTTCTGAAGCCACAAACTTTCTTGAAGTTGTTTCCATTGATGGAATCTTTCAGAATTCCTTTATGTATTGATGGTCAAAGATACATTCAAAAAGCTAAGATTAAGAAATAGAAATATTTTGTAAAAAAAAGAAAAGAGTATCCTTACAAATATTTATACACCTGTATGGCAAATGTTTGACAATCTCCTCAAAGGTGAAGAAGAGACTTGAAGCAACAGAAATTTGGTTCTATAAAAGATGCTAGGAATTGTATTTTATACAAATATGTCATGTTTTAAATATTTTTTCCATTGAAAGTTCATAGTAATCCTGCATTGCATTTAAGTGCAATTTCACCAACAACATTTGCTCATTTCTGTGTATGAGTTTTGATCAAAAAGTACCAGGACTGGAGCTATAAAAGAAAACTATAAAACATATCAATTCAGCATTTAATCTCCTTTGAAGTAATCCCTTTTTGAATCCATAAACTTTATTTAGAGTTGTTGCCATTGATGGAATCATTCCTGGAACTCTTTTATTTTTGGTGGCGGTGGATAACGACCAACTGCCTCGTCGCATTCTTTTTGCTTTCCTCGACGTCTTGAAATCGTATTCCTTTACGATAGGATTTCATCTTTGGAAAGAGGAAAAAATCGCATGAGTCAAGATCTGGAGAATATGTCGGCACAAAACTGTTATATACACCATGATCACTCATGGAACCTTTGTGGTGCGGTAAGACAACCACACTCTACACACTTTCCTACCAAGCACTACTATAAATAACGAGTGAGCGGGAAAGTTACAACTTAGTGGGCATGCGCGAAAGAGTTGAAAGTCAATCTGCGTCAAGCAGCTGCTCACTGCGTACTTTAGCTGCGTTACCATAGTAACAGTGTTGATACGTTTTGATCAGACTTCGTATACACTTGTAGAATTTTAAATTTATGTCTAAGAAATTGATCCGAATACAGAATAGTATAGAGAAGAGAACAGCGATCAGTATAGATGCCACGTGACTTCCTACTTATATGCGTTTCCTCTATGGTCACGTGGTCTACTTAATTCGGTTGACACTTTTGTGATGTCAACGAATACTCGTTGTCACTTTCGTAATGCTCGCTGTAGTAGAGGCTTTGTAATCACAGATACAACTATAGTAACGCCGTTGAACAATACTTGTGTCAAACGCCTTCGAATAACACTCACACTAATAGTACTTGGTCGATAATACTCGCTCGAATAGTAATCCATATAGTGATATGAATAGAGAAATAGTATAGAATAGAAATAGTGATCCGTATAATAATAGAGGATAGAATAGAAATGGAGATCGTTTAGACGTCACGCGACTTCCTACTTCCTCTATGGTCACGTGATCTACTTAATTCAATAATGGGATCGCCTGTCTTTGCTCACTGGCGATCTATGTTCAAACTCAAGTGTCGGCAGCGACACTTTATTCTTATATAACACAAAATGACAATTCGAAACCTAAATTTACGCAAATCTCATCCTCGTTGGGCATAGATTCTATATCTTCACTTGTAATATGCAAGGTGAACAAATGAGTGAGCTATAACTTCAACTAACACGGAGCGATTTTGTTATTCTGATTCTAATATACCATGGGTGCACCCCTAAGTTCTAGATGTCTAGAACTTGGCAGCTGATTACTACTCTGACCTAGCTTTAACAGCTCAGCGGGAGAAAATCTAACTGGTCACATTCAAAGCATCTCAAACCAAACAAGTGATGTTCATCCCCAAGAAGGCCAAGAATATTCCTCTTTTGCAATGAACGGGGCCCCTCAGGGAGGATCCATGCCTTGAGTCCCTATTTGGGACATAAACTCAACTTGTGCCTCAAATGGAACTCATACATATAATTTCAAGCATTTTATCCCAAGCAAGGCAGGGTTGCCACTGAGAGTGAAAGTGAGAGAAAAAAGTGGGTCTAGGAGGGTGAGTAAAGGAAAAAAGGACAGGTATCAAGGCAAGAGAAGAAGACGATTGACGTTGCATTTAAACTTTTGAAGATTGTAGTTATCAGGGAAGCAACTGAGAGGAAGGCAAGTCTTGAAGTACGTGGAAAGGAACTGTTAGATTAGAAGTGGCGGATACATTTAACCATTTCAACAGTAAAAGTGTGGGACCTAAGTGCCAATCTAGTAGCACACTTAAATTCATGTAGTCGGGACACCAGTGAAAAAAGCTTGTCAAAGCAGTGGCCATTAAAATATTTGTAGAAAAGACAGAGAGAATCCATATTATGTCTGTAAGAAAGTGACTGAAGTCGAGATACCAAGTCAGGATCGATTACATTGCAGATCCTTCTTTGGATTTTGTCAAAAACCTCGATATGAACGACAAGGGCACCAGACTAGATATGGCAACAATATTCAATACAAGGACGAATGGTAGATTTGTAGATGTGTGAGACGGACTATGCTGAGAAACACCTTCTGGCACGACACAGTGAACTGTTATGATGAATTACACACTCACGTATGGACTCTCCCAGCTATAAACAGGAGCAGGTACTGCCTTTTGGAGAGGAAGTTTCCAGCAATCAGCTCTGACAATCAGACTGAACATTCTTGCTGTGACACTCTCGTTTGTATATGTTTGTATTACTGTTTTTGTTAATATATTTGTTTAACTCAATTCCTCTCTTGTGTCTTTATTTCTGACCCCTAACAAGGCCACGACAGATAGATAGATAGATAGATAGATAGATAGATAGATAGATAGATAGATAGATAGATAGATTTAAAAAATGAACAGAGAGACACGGATGATAGATAGATAGTGTTATTGTAATTTACCACGCATAGACTCTCCCAGCTATAAATAGGAGCAGGTACTGCCTTTTGGAGAGGGAAATTTCCAGCAGTCAGCTTTGACAGTCGGACTGAACATTCTTGCTGTAACACTCTCGTTTGTAGATGTTTGTATTACTGTTTGTGTTAATATATTTGTTTAACTCACTTCTTCTCTTTGTGTCTTTATTTCTGGTCCTAACAAGGCCACAACATGAACCAAACTTCCTTGAAGCAGATGCAGCTAATGATTCAATGTAGTTGTTCCACTTCCAATCAGTTGAAAAAGTGAGGCCAAGAAGACACAACGATCCATCGCTAAAGACACTCCAAAAAATGGCGGGTTTCCTGTACCTGGCTCCTCCTGTTATCCTCTACCATTACAGGAGCCAGATCATGAAAATGGAGTACTGCTGTCATATATAGGCGGGAGCCGCCCAGTCTTCGCTTTCCGCTCTCGGTAAAGTGCAAAAGCGTCCCTACAACCCCTTTCTCACAGAGGAGACGTCGCAAGCCTCGGTTCGAGTTCGACGCCCATTGTTAGCGAAACACCCTCATTACCTTCGTATTCTCTTGATGAGATGTAAGTTCCACCCGAGCAGCTTCTTCCCACTAACCGACTCCAAGAAGGGTGCTTCCCCGCTCACTAGGGTTAACTGTTATCTTACTCTACATATCCATATAAACTCCATCTCTTACTCTGATACCCTCTACCAGAAGTGGCTCTTACACCATGTAGGGGTTGAACATCATTGTAAAAAATGCGAAAAGACTGTGGACGAGATTAAAGAGAATGCGGTCTGGGATTTGATGGCAGTCAGGAAAAGTATTTAGCAGAATGTGTTGAGCATCAAAAGAGATAGAAGATAATGTATATTAGAAAATGTTGTACTTTGAAGGGGACTAAGGCTATTTTTGTTCATATTAAATGATTTCATACTTTCCAGATATAGCTCAGATAGATTGATTGATTGATTGATTAATTGATAGATTGATTGATTGATTGATAGATTGAATTATGATCAAACTGAGACATATATCTATGAACATGGATATGAGAAAAATGAGATAGATAGATAGATATAAACAAAATGAAATAGATAGATAGATAGATAGATAGATAGATAGATAGATTGAATTATGAGCAAACATATATATATATATATATATATATATATATATATATGAAAAATAGATATGACCAACATGAGATAGATAGATAGATTGAATTATGAGCAAACATATATATATATATATATATATATATATATATATATATATATATATATATGAAAATAGATATGACCAACATGAGATAGATAGATAGATAGATAGACAGATAGATAGATAGATAGATTCTGACAGGCTGAGATAGACTGATAATGATCAAACTGAGACAGATATGAAGATAGATAGATAGATAGATAGATAGATAGATAGATAGATAGATAGATAGATAGATTGACTGATTGAATTATGATCAAACTGATACATGTTGCGAACATAGATAGATATGAACAAAATAAGATAGATTGATAAATATAAACAAAATGAGATAGATAGATAGATAGATAGATAGATAGATAGATAGATAGATAGATATGTCTGTGTGTATGTGTGTGTGCGTGAGTGAGAACATATATTCCGTCTAGGATTACATGCCTCACTTTCATATAAATGCCTGTACACACGCAAGCGCATATCCATCATGTGCGCGCGCACCTATCATGTTGGAAATTCAAAATGATTTAAACTGACGACCGGAAGTTGTTTCATTAAGCAACCACGAACTGCTTTTGATATCTTGAAACTTGCGGACAAGCGGACACAAAGGTTGTAGGTTCAAACAGCATAAAAACTACAAAGTGATAAAAATAATATTTCTTCGCCCGTTTTGTGGGTGGGAGGGGTCTTTTGTTTAGGTCCCGTTAAAAAATGAAATAAAGAAGTTGTAACGGAAATGTTTAATAAAGACGAGAATGAATAACAAAGAGAAAAATAAAGTTAGGGTGGCCAGACGCTAAAACAAAAATAAACAATTGAAACATAAAGAAATGCACACATTTAAATGTGAACCTTCGTCCGGGGGAAAATGGAATAATGTTAACGATACTATTAGCAATTTTCCTATAAGGAAACGTTTGGCACCCAGTTTTTTTTAAGATCTTCACCCCAAGCAAAGCGGAAGTGCTACGAGCACGCAAGGGGTTACGGGGAGTGTGAGCAAGAGTAAAGAGACCCTGATAGAAGAAAGGATGAATCATCATCATCTTGCGGCCTCAGCCGAGATTGAACTCACTACACCTTTCCAGTATTCCTTATCTGTCATAGCTAATACTTTGATTGGTGTAGTTCATAATCTTGTCAAATAGCTAAATTCTTGATGCTTCGCTAGGGCTATCAAAGGGTGTTTTATCGTGACACCATCACTAAATGGATTGCAAATCTGCTCAGAGAGACTCCATTCACCCTCCTCTAAGAGCAGGTTTGAATTCAGAGTTTTCTTTCTCTAGACCAGTTGCCATCCAAGGCTATAGAACCCAGTTGACTAGGATTTTGGTATTAAATGACCCATAAGAAGTTGATATGCTATTAAACAGCCGAGATTGAACTCACTACACCTTTCCAGTATTCCTTATCTGTCATAGCTAATACTTTGATTGGTGTAGTTCATAATCTTATTCAAATAGCTGAATTCTTGATGCTTCGCTAGAATATCAAGGGGTGTTATTATCGTGACACCATCACTAAATGGATTGCCAACCAAGGCTAAGAGAGACTCCATTCACCCTCCTCTAAGAGCAGGTTTGAATTCAGAGTTTTCCTTCTCCTAGACGTTGCCATCCTAGGCTATAGAACCCAGTCTGTCCTGCTATTTACCCATACCTGGAGGGAGAAGAGGATTCACACCTTTCCCAAGGGTGTTAGCACGTAAGTGAATTCGATTGGAATTCAAACTCGGCTCTCCGATTCCTCAATCCAAGCCGCTATCCATTACTCCACGGTGCCTCCTAGGATGAATAAAAGGACATCAAGGCATCTGGAGATGTCGATTGACATTTCATTTGAATAGTTGGAGATTATAGCTTTCAGTGAAACAAATAATAGGAAGAGAATTTCACAGACGGGAGGTGTGAGACATGAAGCTATTGGAGTAGAAAAGATGGCTACATTTAACGGTTTCGACAGTGAAAGGGTGGGACTGAGATGCCAACCTACTAGCACGTTTAAATTCATTTAGTTTGGGAACAAACGAAAGTAGCTCATCAAAGCAGTTGCCATGAAAATATTTTTAGAAAAGACAGAGGGAAGCGACGTTACGTCTGTGAGAGAGCGACTTTCAACGAGAAGACAGATGAGGGCCAATCGCATTGCCTATCCGTCTCTGGATTTTGTCGAGGACCTTAAGACGATTAGCGGAGGCTTCAGACCATATATGGCAGCAGTATTCCATGCGAAATAACCGATTTCGGTTGAAATTTATCAAACCTTTCTCTAAAATTAAAAAAAAAAAATAGGTTTCTCAAGTCCAGAAGCTCTTATCGCTCTTTCTATTGACGGGGGTTTCCTTCCTCACCTTTTGTTTGAAGTAGTGTGGAATGTCAACATCTTGATATCATTACTTTCTCTTCGAGTAACACGTGCTATCCGTTTTAGTTGTTGCTTCTGCTGGTAGTTCCCCAAGTGATTATGTAGCGCCAGTCCACACTGTTCAAAGAAGGATGGTCTTTGCCAAGGCTATCAGGTTTTTCTCGCTCAAAGCCACTTTTATCGATTGATCTTTAACCAACAGATACATTGGTGCACGCCCCACTACATGCACACGAAAGAAAGAAAGAAAGAAAGAATAAATGAGAAAGAAAGAAAGAAAGAATAAATGAGAAAGAAAGAAAGAAAGGAAATGAAGATAGTAAAAATGAAGGTAGGTATAACTTAGGAAGACAAGATAGAAATATACAAAAGGATGAACGAAAGGAGACAGAAAGTACAGAGAAGGAAGGAAGGAAGGAAGGAAGGAAGGAAGGAAGGAAGGAAGGAAGGAAGGAAGGAAGGAAGGCTGTTTGAAAATAAACAAAAGAAAGAAAGAATAAAAGAAAGCAAGTTTAGGAATATACCAAAAAAGTCAAATAGAATTAAAAAAAGAAAAGAAAATTTTCAAAAGAAAAGAAAGAAAAAAGAAAAAAGAAACAAAATGAAGACAACAAACAGAAGAAAGAAAGGAAATGAAAACAACAGACAAAAGGAATGAAGGGCGGGAAAGAAAGAAAGAAAGAAAGAAAGAAAGAAAGAAAGAAAGAAAGAAAGAAAGAAAAAAAGAAAGAAAACAAAGCGAACAGACAAAAGAAAAGAAGGAAGGAAGAAAGGAAAAAGAAGAAAGAAATATGGAAATCGCCAGAAATGCGCGCTAAAAGGCGGGAAACCAAAGACAAAAGTTTATGGAAGGCGAGAAAAGGTCGTCTGGGAGGAGCGGGTGGTGCGTATATCCGTCCGTGAAGTACCCAGGTAAGAAGCAGACTGAACACTTATCCATCGACGGTGCAGAGTGTATGAGCTGGGAGGTCGAGAAAGAGCATGAGATTTTATTTTCCTTTGGGGTGAGGTTGGCTATATACTTCCCTGGTCAAGTGTGTGGGTGGATGAATGAAAAAAAATAGATCAAATTTGGACACAATGCTGGTTCAGTGCCTTCCCCATCCAGTGGCCCACGTGTACAACCATGCAGTGCCTTACCATCCCATTGCCCGGCCGCCATCAATATATATATATATATATATATATGTGTGTGTGTGTGTGTGTGTGTGTGTGTGTGTGTGTTTGTTTTATGTTTTAAGCTTTTAAACTTTTAGTTTATTTTAGACTAGTTTTTGTTCCTACCATTTGTGGACATATATATATATATATATATATATATATATATATATATATATATTTATATACATATATATATATATATATATATATATATATAATATATATATATATATATATATATATATATATATATATATATATATTTCTACCGAGGAATATATATTTTGTATCAGGTATAAGGTCAACTGTAGTATCAAAGCCTCCTTAAATTTTAGTAGATATCAAGGAAGGCGCCGTAGTTTATGTTAACCTAAGTACTTTCGACCTCTTCTCAGATCATCTTCAGGGGTAAATTCCAAAAACAACAAATTGGAACGTGCTCTGTTTCAGTTATTTTAGAATATTTAAATTTATTAATGGAATCTTTTACAAAACAGGCGGCCCACTAAGGGAGATAACTGGGAACTGCTAGAAATGTAAAATTGCATAAGTATATAAATGTTTTATGCAACATATGTTGTTGTTATATTCGTAATAAATTTTTTTCAATGTTGGTTGTTTTTTTTTCTTTTCCTTGTTTGTTTTTGTTTTTGTTTTGTTTGTTTTTTGTTGATTTTGATATAGAGGACCTCGAGTATTTGAAGTTTTTGACAACGGAATGCGGATTTTATTGCAGTTACAATGACATGTTTGTCTTTGTAATTTACTCCTGAAGATGACATTCGAAAAGGTCGAAAATACTTGGATTAAAAAAAAAAACTACGGCGTCTTCCTTGATCAATTTCATCTCAGCATCAAGAAGCTGATTAGACAACTGGAAAGGATTAGTATAAATATAATCAGATACAATATGTCTATAAT